ACACAATCTGTTTGAACTCCTCCCCTCTGGACAGCGTTACAGGTCACTGTGCACTAAGACAACCAGGGACAGGGACAGTTTCTTCCCCCAGGCTGTCGCTCTGATGAACACTTAACCAACGACAGTATGACTGGACAATAACCCTCAGTGCAATACCTGTAAATATACCTGGTACAGATTATAGACTCGTACAGGTCTCTAGTTCTTAAATACTCTGTTTTTATCCCTATTTATCTCATTTCAATGAACATTCCTTTTGTTGTCTGCATTGTTTACTGTCTGTTTATACTGCTTTTTCTGCATTGTTTGCACTGTTTGTTGATGTTAATACTGCTATTTTGTTATATTACACAGCCTTATGCTGGTTTGTTGTTTGCACAGTGAGAGCCGATGTACCTGAGTCAAATTCCTCGTGTGTCCATCACACCTGGCCAATAAACTGATTCTGATTCTGAATAAGTAAATCAACACAAAAAAGAGTCATACTGAACATAGCTGGAAAAACTGGCCCAAGGTTGAACCTAATGTTGACCCCTGACCTGCTGTCTCCTGTCACTCTGAAGCCCTGCCCCCTGCTCACCTGGGCCCTGACTGGTGCTCTTCTCCTCCACCCAGGTGTAGTAGGCAGAGCAGTCTCCATTGCTGGGCAGTGTGACCAGGGGTCCCGTGATGCTGATGCTGGTCTCACCGTTCTGGTCGTCCCAGATCCAGCGCCCTGACAGGTAGGTGGTCCTCCGAGCCTCGGCCAGCTCGCTCACCGTGCTGGAAGTCAACGCCGGGTCACACTCCGCCACCACATCCGCAGGGTCTCTGACGAACAAACGAAGGGGCAGAGTACAGTTTAACAGTGTTTTATTTGGGGGAGGACGACATTTTAACAGTTTTTTATTCCATTGTACGTGTTTTTTTTTTACCACTACTGCCACTAGGTATGAATTAAAAAAAAAACTGCACTGATTTTAAATGTGTTTCAACCTGTTCTGAAATCTGTTCTAAGTTCAGTGAGTCAAGTCAACGCTTGTCAGGTCACTTTGAACTGCCTCTGTATCCGGGCACGCCGCCTTTTACAGACATTCTGGACAGATTTTTATTGATCGTGTATGACGTGTAAACTCACACACCACATATGAATCAGCCTGAACCTGCAACTGCTCACACTATCCGTTCCCTCAAGTGGGCATGATGTGAATGCTCACGCTGAATGTTTAAACTGAATCCCTGAACGGATGTGCTCATTGACAGTTCAAATAAAGTTCTGTTCAAAAAAGATGGCCGCATCTTTGAAGCTGACGTCAACAAAGAGCGGCGTTATCTGTAGCCATTTTATTTATACAGAACTCTAATGAAACAAAAGGATTCTGTCCACACATGAGGGCTTGTCTGTGCCATGTTATAAAGCTGTCTTTGTGCTGTATTGATGCGACTTCACCAGGGACTGTGGGAAATCAGACTGTGAGCCTGTTCACACTGCAGAAACCAACCAAAATTTATGACCACATCATTGGTCATTCAGGTGATTGATCCTGCTCTCACTGCACGCCAAACAACAACTGACCTGGAAGCTTGGTCCGATTCTCAAATCAGTCAGGGTCGTCTGAATCAAGGCTAAAATCAAAGCGAATCTGAACCGTGTCTGCTCAGCTTAAGACTCACTTCATCTTCTGTGTGAGCACTCAGACTCTCACCTGCTGCCCTGCTTCTCCTCCTGTGTGGGGAACATGTGCGTGGTGAGCTCCAGGATGTGTTCTCGTCTCAGGGCAGCCAGCTGACTGAGCCTGCTCTGCAGCTCTCTGCTGCGTCTTTCCAGCAGCTCCCCGAGACGACGGTTGTGACGCTCAATTTTGTCCCGTTTCTCCTGGTGACGTCCGGCCCGCCGCTGCAGCCGCTGACTCTCCTCCTGGGAGTGCTGGAGCAGCTCCTTATCTGTAGGAGGAGAAGGTGCAAGAGAAGAGAAACAATATTAAGATAAAGACGGAGGAGTAATGAAGAGGACATGATGAAAAAGGCTGATATTTCAAAACTATCACTGGGCCCATTTACCAATCAGATTGACAAAAACTTACTTTGCACCTGTTCTGGTGATCAATTAGTCAGTTATTTCTGCAGCTAAAGTGTGAAGCCTCTCCTGTTGCTGCAGTGTGTCACTCTGCTTTATCCATTTGCTCTCAGAGTTAAGTGAAACTTTTGGGCTTCAGGACAAACTAAGACATCTTAAGACAACTCCACAGATTCAGACGCTGATAAACACTATTTTAATGTACCAACAGCTGGATAAATGTCAAAATGTGAACCTGCTTTAAAACTAGGTGCAAAAACCATCAGTGTGGGAGAAGCTACAGGTAAAATAAAACATAAGGTGACACGTT